AGAACTCTGTGATTTTAGAAAAAATAAAAGTCAAATGTAGACACGTCTTTAAAAGACCCTCCTCCTCCCCACCACCCCGCGCAGCTGCGGTCAGTGAACCTCCACCCCCAATTGTGTGATTAATACTGATTTTTTGCGCAAATTACAGATATTTGATGCTCAATAAACACATTAAATATCTGAAGGGGTTGACGTGTGAACTCTTCAGTCCCAGGCTGGTCGGAGCCGAGCTTCAGGTGGGCAGGTGCAGCTGCTGTAAAGTCACTGCCCATCACTTTAAAAACAGTCAGATGATACGTCACGGTTTTGTTGCGCTCGTGATGTGAACACACAGGGGAAATGCTGCGAAGTGCTTTTAGAAATATAATAAATATAAAATACGATGTAATCCTCGGTGGAAAATAGTCCAGGAAACGTGTGCGTTCCCGGGAGGTGTTCACCTGCAGCTGAGTGAAGCTGACCCCCCACCCACAGAGAAAGAAAAAAAGGCAGTAATTATTGACAAGGTAGTAACCATGCTGTGGCTTCACCTGTCGCATTTTCTTTTAAAGAAAGAAAAAGTAGCTTGCAACGCTGTCGCATCGGTGCTACGTGATTAAAAGCAGAGTTTTCATTGCTGTCTAATCTCACACACATCTCCTATCTTTGTGAAGACTACACACAGCGCTCAGCCTCGCTCTGCGCCGTCTTTTCCCCAAGTTTGGTGAGAGGTGGACATGGAGGGTCGCAAAAAATAGCTCTCGACTTGATCTGGCCTTATTTAAATAAAAATGACTACATGCCGTGAAATTCTTAGAGGGGCAGGCCGTCTCGTTGGCGGGGGGGCCGCCCCGCCTGTATAATGGTAGGGGAAACACTGCAATACGATTATGCCCAACCCCACTCAGTCAGAACTGACCATAATTATCCCAAAATAATCCCTGGTTCACCAGATTATTCAGATTCATCTAATTTCCCTTTGGTACCCATAAAGTACTTTTGAATTGAATTGAACTGAATTATTGAAAGGACAAAGGAATTCAGCAAACCGTTATTTCAGTTTTTCTTCATGCTTCTTTGAAACTGTGGCATATGAAGGTGTGTATAAAGTTAGAGCTTCAAAGAGCTCTAAAGACTACGTCTCATCATGGCACATGTCTGTGGTGAATCAGAGCCAACATGTCCAGATGTTTGGACCCTGATAAGAACTGCTTGCACTTCTAGTTACTTTTCTTTCTTGTGATTTGAATTGACAGCTGTGACACCGTCTGACAGCCTTTAGAGGAGGAATCTGCTCTCAGCAGCCAGTGACGGAAGCCTGAAGGAGCCAAAAACAGGTCGGAACAACCGTGACCTAACCCAGAAACACAACTCTAAACTGGTAAATTGTTCTTGTAGACATGCATTAGATAAATACCTGAACAGAATGAGTTTAAATGAGAAATAAAGCACTGAGTCAATGACCTGCAGGAGGAACAATTTGTCCACACCTCTACATCCCTCTAATCAAAGTTTGACGATAACATATCTGACCCATCACATCGAAATGAGGATTAAGACAAATTTGGTCCAAATGACCTCATCATATTTTCAGATTTCTGGCTTTAAAAGCTACATTTTGTAATTAAATCATCCTGATATCATTAGTAGATCTAGGAATATTATTTAATTTGTCTTGTTGGTTACGATAATATATAAATATTTAGTCTAAATCCAAATTTTATGTAATTTTAATGAGGATTTTTTTTATGTCATTTGAAAAAAGACACCTCAAATAGTATTTGAATATTGAGATTTCCCATCTGGAAAGAAACAAAGCTTTGAAAGCTTTGATAGCTCACAGCAGGGCTATTCAACTAAATTGCTCTGGGAACCACAGTTACTGCAGGTCAACAGCTGAGGGGCCGAACATCCAGCAATTAAAGTTATTATTTAAATAAACCAAGTATTACAAAGATCTGTTACCTTTGAAATAGTTTATTTTGCTGTATTTAATCATGAATACAACATACAGAACCCTATAAAAGTAGTGATAATTAAACAATATCAAAATCAAAAATAAACACATTATGCCTCCTTTAACACAAAGAATATTTTTGATATCTCTGATTTGCCAAAATTTTAAACCAATTTTATTTTCACTTTCATAGTTTTTATCTTCAACTGCTTGTTCTTTTAACTGTCTTGAGTGTTTATAGAAATGGTTTTTACCAGCTTGTGGCCAAGATTCAGACGTTTCTGTAGACACCAACCATGTCTATGTTTAACAACAAGAACTTAGAGTAATTAAAGTAGAAAACCAGGGGTTTGGGCTGAAGAGATGAATGAACCAGATGGCGGGCCGAACTTTGGTCACTCCGGCCCGCGGGCCGCCAGTTCAATAGCCCCGGCTTACAGTGAAAATCTCAACATTTTAAGGTATTTTTCCTCAAAATCGTGTTTTTGATTGCTGCTGCTCAAAAAAGTGCTTCAAAACATTTTAGGATAATATTTCAAACAGTTCATTGAAATGATACGTTGATAACACATTTATTTGTTGTATTTTGTTGTAATAATCCTTATTAACATGCAGTAATTAAAAACAGATAACCCTGTCTAAATGTTTAATTATTTGGTTTTGTTAGCTTGTCTGTGTTCAGTGCTTTCTGTTGTTGCTGGCTGCATGATGTCATAAGTTTATTTTCTGTTTATTTCTCTGTTTGTGTCCACCTCAGGTGGAGAAGGAAGAGCTGAGCTGCGTATGGAGGAGCAGCCAACCTTTCTGTTCCCAGCAGTTCTCTGTTTGATCCCCTGGATGAGCTCAGGGAGCCCTCATTAGTTGTCTGTCGGCAGGAAAGCATCCGTGGGTTCAGGCGATGCAGACGCTGACACGCCCCCCCACCGTCCCCCCGTCCCACCATCACTGAGGAGGCTCCCCGACGTCACCTTTGTCCAGACCTTTTCACTGCTACCTTGTGTCTTCATGCTTTGGGGGTCCTCCCGTGCCCCCGCCCTCTGCCGTTCACCCTGCACCGATCGTCACAACGGCCGGCCACCGCAGTCGCTTCGTTGCCATGCCAACAGAGACACTGGCTCCTGCTCTCCCAGATAGCAAGGCCACTGGCCCCACAGCGCCTTTCAGCTCTGCCGTACCCCTCCGCATCCTCAACAAGGGCCCGGAGTATTTCAGGAGACAGGTGAGGAACAAGAATACTTTTAATTTAGAGAAGTGAGAAGTGAGCCACCGTTAGTAAATATCACCTCAAATATCAAGATGGACAGATTGTTTGTAAAAAAAAAAAAAGCTCAACTTCAAATTTCCTGTAAGGAAACACAAAGTTTGCCAACCTGCTCCACCACAGAACTACATTTAGGTTTGTTTACAAGTTAAAAGATGATTCAAGCTCAGTTTACAGCTGCTATCCTGGATGTATAATCCTACAGAGGTGTTATTCAGGGTTCTTCAAAATCAAAACAATCCTAAAGAAAACACTGCAAATTAGACTGTTATTCTATAATAACGTTTCAAGTGTTGAAACTAAAAAGTTCACAAACTTTAGGGGCAGTGTTGTCAGGTCCGCTTATTATAAGCGACTTTGGGCTTCCTTTTTTCTAAAGTCACTTGTAAATTCTGTGAGTTGCGTTTTTTGGGGCTTATTTTTGAACTTGAGTTGCTTATTTTGGACTCATCTGTCTGTCTGAATGACATGCTTAAAGGGGACCTATTATGCAAAATTCACTTTTAAAGGTTTTTTTAGTCAACTTTGGGTATGTACTTCTTAAAAAAACAGTCCTAGGACCAAAAAAATGCACCCAGGGGCATATTTACTGTAAGTAAATGTATTTTTAATGTACAGTATATTAACGACAAGTTTTATACTTCCGTCATTTTGTGATGTCACAAGCCGTACGACAACCCACCAGAACCTGCGTTCAGCCCCTTACCTAGCAAACCCCGGGTGAGACTCCACCTCAGTAGAAAAAGCCATCACGGTTGTTGTTGTTGTGTAATGCGCAGCTCATTTCACAACAGGCCTCCAATAGGGCAATGGGTAGAGTGTTGGACCAGAGAGTGGGAGACCAGGGTTTGAGATCAGCATGGACACAATTTAATTATTTATTTTCATTCGTCATGAACACGTTTTCTCATGTACCTCTATTGTTTAGCTTATTAAAGCCTTGTTAAAACCTATTTGTTCAAGTTTCTGAGGTATTTTGACCGCTGCTGCTCCCTGCTCTGGTAACAGCATGCAGAGTGAGCACAGAGCAGAGGAGGGGGAGAAAAAAGAAGCTGGGACCACGACTCTGCCTCTGGGTCTCATATGGTTGTACAACGGAGCTTCTGCTATTATTAGCCATGCTAACGTAAACGCTGGCTGTGGAGGGCGGAGTTAATGTCAACAGATTTTTGGAGGGCGTTACCAACAGAGCTCATTAACATAAACAGCTCTTCTGAACGGAAGTCAGAGCAGGCAGAACTAGAAAATGGGAAATTTTATTATCTGAGAATTATTTTGTGCATTAAATTGAATGAACATGGTCTGGATAGCCCACAGACATACCATAAACATTTCTGGGACCCATAATTGGTCTCTTTTAACTCTGCTCCCGCTGAAGCAGAACACAAGGAGTAGTGGGTTTCTCCCTCCCACTCCCCCGTTTCCTGGTTGTCGCTCCCGCCCGAGTTGAGTCGGCACATTTCAAACACACACACCAGAGCCCAGTGTGATGGGGAAACAAGCAGGGGTGAGGCAGTGCGGTCTGGTCCGGTTCAGAACTTATGACAGGAGACTTGATACAGCGCACGTGTGTCTACATCTAAAACACAGTGGGGATTGGTGCGCTCGATTTAATGGACTGGGACATTTTACACAGGTGGTGCACAGACAAAAATAAATAAATAAAAAAATACACTGCTTATATTGGAATACAAGTACAGTACAGTAAAATATTGATAAGTTTTAATTTGTTTGGAATTTGCTGATTAAATTGCATAAATTGAGCGAGAGAGAACAATAAGAGCCAGAACCAAATTTTTTGTCATATCAGCAAAAACTACTTCACCTCTGGATATCAGTGACAAAACAGAGTGAGAATGAGTTGCAGTAAGTCAGGAAAATATGGGGGAAAACGTAATAAAAGTGAGGAAAAAATAGCGCACAAAGATTTTTGTGAGTTTTTGTTGACTGTACTGTCATTTTGCTGCAAAATGCACHTTTCTTATGATCAGAGTTTAAAAGTATATGTTATTAAAATAATTTAAATTATTCAAACCATTAAAAGTTGTTCATTTTGATGGTAATTTTTATCATAATTTTGCTGTTGCTTATGTATAATGCAATAATAAATGTATACATTAATACAGTACTGTTACAATTGACCTCTATTTTACACAATGTGTGTGTGGGGTGGGGGTTGCCAGTTGGGCTTATTTTGGGCTTGTTTTCATAGAGCTGGTTGCTTGTTTCTGTGTGAGATCTGGCAACACTGTTTTGGGAGAAAAGTAAATGTAATTTTGAATTTGATGCTGCAACACGTCCCAATAAAGCTGGAACAGGGGCAACAAAAGACGGGGAAAGTTGAGGACTGTTCATAAAGCAGCTGTTTGGAGCGGTTCACAGGTGAACAGGTTCGATGGAAACAGGTGAGGGTCATGACTGGGTATAGATGGAGCATCCTCGAAAGGCTCAGTCATTCACAAGCAAAGATGGAGCGAGGTTCACCACTTTGTGAACAACTGTGTGAGAAAATAGTCCAACAGTTTAAGAACATTTCTCAACGTACCCCAGATGATTTAGATTTCATCATCTATAGTCCATAATGTCAATATGAGTTCATGAGGTTTGCAAATCATTGGGCCTCATGCAAGAACCGTTCGTACACACAGATTTGTTCTTAAGTTGTGCGTACGAGTGATTTAGGAGAATTTGTGACATTAACCAATGTTTTCGTATTC